CTACCGTCTTGATGACCAGGGGCTCCACGTCAGGCTTTGTGGTTAGACAGCATCTACTCAGTGCCTGGGCAAATTGATGACAATTCATTTTTAACCAGGCCCATGAAGAAGATCTTAAATTCTATTGACCTCAGAGACCCTCTCCATGGGACATTCTGCTGTTTAACTAGATGACAGGCATTTCAGTTCACTGCACTTTGGATGGTGTTTACTCATCTGCTTAACCTTAAATTAAACAAGAAAAATAAAAGGAGGTAAGAAAGTATTAAATCCGAATCAATTGCTTACCGACTTGAACTCAAATTTATCAAACATAAGGGCTTGGATTCCACTATTGAGGGCTGGTGATGAGCCATAAATTTGGAAAGGGAGGATATATTGTCCCATGATCATAGTAGGACTGTTAACTGTTAAACTGTTAACCTGATAGTTAGAGAAGAGCAAGAAAAGTTTTAAAAGGGAGACACATGTTCAAACAAAGCATCCCGAGGACAGAAAAAGTAAACAGCTTTAGACTTCAAAGACTGTGATGATATCACTCTATGACTTCACTTGTTATTTGTTAATGATAATGAAAATTGCTAACATTTATTGGATGTGTATTACATGCCATCTGCTCTTCCAAGTACTTCACACAAGTGAACTTTTGAATTTTCCCCAAATCTCTAAGAGTTAGTTACTATTATTCCATTTTATAGGTCAAGAAATTGAGGTGCCAGGAGATTAAGAAACTTGCCCAAAGTCACACAGCCAGAGAATGTCAGAGCTGAAATTACGCACTGTGCTAAAAACTATGCAAACCTTGCAAAGTTTGAATTTCTCATAAGATAGTATTATTGCATTCATTGTATAAATTTGGAAATCAAATTTCAGAGAAGTAATGTCAATTGTCCAGAGTCACCTGGTAAATAAGATGATGGAGACAGGGGTCAGACACACCTGTGTTCCCTCCTGATGTGGCACACAGAGGAGACTTCTCTATTATTTTGGTCCAAAATACGTGCCCTGAATCTAAGCATGAAAGGATTATCAGACAAGTCAGCCCTGAGAGACATTCCTCAAAATGACTGGAATGGACTCTTCAAAAAGTGTCAATGTCTTTTATGTATAACTACAATATATAAATTAAAAAATAAATTATTAGAAGCAAGACAAATAAAGTAGAGGAAGAGGACCAGTGTGGGGGTGCAGGAGAAGAATGGAGTCAGTCACAGGGATTGAAATAAAGCAAATTATGTTTTATGCATTTATGAATATGCTAAAATGGACTCCACAATCATGTATAACTATACTGCACTTATTAAAAAAAAAGCGTCAATGTCATGAGCAAGAACAAGAGCTGGCGGAACACTCTAGATGAAAATAAACTGGACACACATGTCAGGAATTGCAGTGTTGATGGTGTAGTGAGCTTAGATTATAGTATTTCATGTAGAAATAGTAGAGGATGGCATAAGGATAATTGGGGAGATCTGAATACCAACAATTTATTAGACAATTATATTGTGCTAGTGTTGTGTTTTATCAAGTGCAATAGCTATGTTGTGACTTTGTAAGAAAATGTTGCTCTTTGAAGATCCTGTTGAAGGAGTTCAAATGTTGAATGCTTCAAATGTTTTAGCAAAAAGAAAAAGTGTGTATGTATGAGTGTGTGTGTGTCTCTCTATGTATGTGTACACATAGGGATCCTTATCTATGTGTGTGTGTGTGTATATATATATATATATTTATTTATTTATGATGATATATCACATACATACATGCATATTTGTGGATAAAGAGCATTTTAAGTGTTGATTGTACTATTTTTTTTTCAGTTTTTCTACTTATTTGCTTTTATTCACAGTATGAAAGTTAGGGGAAAATATATGTGAATGTTTAATTCCCCAGCCACTCTTTATAACTTCTATACTAAATGGTTTCCCCCAGAATCCATATTGATGATATGAGCAACTAGTAGAAAAATGGACTATTACTACCGCTAACACTTAATATTTACTTTGCATTCAATCAGCCACTATTTTAATGAGCATTTACTTTGTACCATTGTTCTGTGCCCTGGGGAGAAAATGATAAAACACAGTTCCCAACATTTTAAAGACAGGGAAAGCAAAATAGGAGACATAGAATAGTCGAATGAGTAAATGTTTAATATAACCTCAGTCACAGATGCAATGGGATTTGGGTCAGGAAGTGATGGGGAGAGATGTGGACTATTTAGATAAGTGTGGCAAAGAAAGGCCTCCCTGAGGAGGTAACATTTGGGCTGAAAGTCTAATGAGGTGAGGGAGCAAGTTCAGGACAAATATGGAAAAAGCATGTTTTGCAAAGTGCAAAATCAAGTGGGAATGCCCCGCAGGGAGCTGTCCCCAAGCTGTACCCAGCACTTGGTGTCTCTTTTAATCTCACCTTAGCGTTTTCCCACTTTGGTATTATTTTTGGTTGTTTATTTTTTTAAAATGCACAATATGCTTTAGCAAGATTCTTTGAGAAAGAACATAAAATGACATTTTTCCTTAAGGTGCAATCTTCTGCTTTTGAGAAAATGTAGGAAAAGAAATAGGTGTACTATTGAAAGACGTTCAGTTGCCAGAAACGCCACATTGCTTTTCTTTTAAAAACTAAATCTAGGCCTGGGGTGGTAGCACAGTGGTAGAGCTCTTGCCTAGCTTATGGGAGGTACTGGGTTCGAGCCTCTAAACCACATAAAAATAAATAAAAAAATAAAGACCCATCAACTATTAGAGGAAAAAAAAAAACCAACTAAACCGAATAGGTTATTTCCTCATTTTCCAAGCTTGAAGCACACTCGAGATCTCATAATTTTCCCCAGTGTTGCTTTAATCTGCTGGATTCTACTGGAATTAGAGGCTCATATAGCTTGGGCCACTTGGGGAAGTGACTGTACCCTTGAGTCATCTGCTGAGGTCTTTCTTTAGTATTTCCCCCTCTGTTTGATTAGCCCCTTTCACCGCTGTGACTTTAAGATCTGACCAAAACAATTTTAGAGGAGGAAAACTTTATTTGGTTTCAGAGGCCTCAATCCACATACAGCAGGCTCCATTCCTCCAGGCTTGAGGGGAGACAGAACATCATGGGGAGGGTAGCAGCTCATGTGATGATGGGAAAGCAGAGAGACTCCACTCACCAGATACAAATATATATCCAAAGCCACGCCCCAATGCCCCAACCGACTCCAGCCACATCCCACCAGCCTTCAGTTACCACTCAATTAATCTCGTGGGTGATTAATTCACCAACTGGGTGAAGGCTTTTGTAACTCCATCATTTTTGTCTCTGAACCTTCTTGCATTATCTCAATCCTGAGATGTTGGGTGAAACCTCACATTCAAACCATAACACCCTCCCACACTTTTCTGAATTGATGAGTACACTAAGTTGGTCAGACATATATGTTATAAACAAATTTCTTCCCAATCAGTTGATCATCCTTCAGTTTTATCTGTTGTGATAAGCGCTGCATATACCGTTTGGATTTCTTCAGTTTTTAAAAGCTAACACTCCATGTTTCATTTTAGCTTTTGATGACCTACTTTTGAAATTTCAAAAATAATAACCTATGCATTTTATCTAGAACTTTTAGAGTTTTATTTATTAGGATTGGGTATTATATTTACTTGTGACTTATCTTGATCTATAATAAGAGACAAATTTTATTTAAAAAACAAATTTGTTCAAGATCAATAAGGACAAATACAAAAATCATATTTTTTTATAGTAGAGTATCCTTGGTTATAAAAGCCATATTCACACAAGAATCTTGTATAAGGAGAATTTGTGGTGAGATGATTTATGTTCCAGGATTTTAAATCCTTTTCAAGGAAAAAATGCTTGAGGTCTAAAATCATGAGTGAACTATTAATAAGACACAAATAGTTTTGCATTCCATGAAAACAAAGCAGTAAAGTCAATACACTAAATAAATAGAAAAAAGTGAGAGTTGATGCTATAAATAAGGAACAGAAGACAGTCAATTTTCATTTACTTTTTGCTTTGAATGTGGGTAGTGTCGTCAGGTGTCCATGGGTCCAGGTGTTAAAGGCTTGGTCCTCAGGTGATATTTTTGGGAGGTGCTATGAATCTTTAGGAAGTGGGGCCTTGTAAGAGGTTCTTAGGTCCTAAGGACCTTGAAATGAACTGTGGGATCCCCCTCCCAATCTTTTTCTCTCACTGCATCTTACACTCTGATTTTGACCAGAGACCCAATCAATGGAGCTTCATGGATATGGACTAGAAACGGTAGAGCTGTGAGCTAAATAACTGTTTTTCTTTATAAGTTCATTGCTTTGGGCATTTTGTTACAGTAACATAAAAATGACGAATACACTCTCTTCTCCAGAAACTTTTCAAGATCTCTGATCTTGTTTAGCTGCTGTTATAAAATACCATAAATGAGGTAACTTATAAGCAATAGAAATGTATTTCTCATAGTCTTGAAGGTTGGGAAGTCCAAGATCAAGATGCTGATAAATTTGATGTCTATTTGAGGGCCTACTTTTTGATTTATTAACAAACTTCTTGCTGGATTCTCATGTGATAGAAAGAACAAGGTGGCTCTCTGGTGCTATTTCATTCATGAGGGCTCCACCCTCACGGCCTAATCACCTTTTAAAGACTCCAACTTCCTCCAAAAGCCATCACATTGGTTATTAGGTTTTAATCAATGAATTTTGTGGAGACACAGACATTCAGACTATAGTGCCTCCATTCTTTACACATTTAATGAAGCAATTTT